CGCCTTCGCCGGCGTCGCGGGCGGGCCATTGCCGCACGCACCTACCGTTAGGTCGGGCCTGTCCCCCTTTGGGCGAACAATGAAAATACTCCAAACATACATCCAAAATAAAAAACAAATCCTTTCCAGACTATGTTTTGACTATTTTCGAATATTCTCCCTGTAGAGGGACAGGCCCGACTGTACCAGGACATGTTCTGATAATAAAAGATGCTTCGAACAAACAGATACAGTGCTCCTGTAGCACGAAGCCGACGTGTTGAGGCAGGACGGTCCCAGTCAAGAAGTGTCGTGAGGGCATCTCGGGCAAACCACGAAAGGTTCTTGGAACGTGCTGTGGTGGCGAGCCAGGACGCCTCACCACTGCTCGATCCCAGGCCACGCTGAGCGGCGACCTGCACAATCCCGCGCAACGAGGCAGCCGCAGGAGGGGGACGGAGCAGGGCTTCGAGCTTGACACGAACCCGAGGATGAATGGGCAAAGCGACGCCCGCGGCCCCACCTCGACGGTGTGATGTCGTTTTCCTGCGGGCGCCGGCCTCCGTCCAGACCCAGGAAGAGCTGCAGGACCGGTGCTCGGAGGGCGGCCGTGCGCCCCTCCTCCTGGCCGCCCGCCCCGCCCCACGCGCTCCGCCTCCAAGCCTCCCCTCCCCCTCTGCCCCATCCTGGCCCGCATCCCCCCCTCCTCCGCTCCCAGTCCCGCTCCCTCTCTCCCCTGCCCCCTCGCCCCCCCTCCCCCTCCTCCTCCTCCTCCTCCTCCTCCTCCTCCTCCCCCTCTGGGGCAGCCGTCGTGGCGCCTCGCGCTCCGGGTTCCGCGGAGCGCGACCTATCTTCGCGCTCTCGCGCCGCGCCCCCCCCCCCTCCCAGAGCAGGAGGAAGGACCCGCGCCTCGCTCTGAAGCCGCCCAGACCGCGAAGCGCGACTAACTTCGCGCCCTCGTGGTGGCCACCGCCACCGCTTCCTCCTCCTCCTCCTCCTTCCTCCTCCTCCTCCTCCTTCCCCTCCTCCTCCTCCTCCTCCTCCTCCTGCTCCTTCCTCCTCCTCCTCCTCCTCCTCTCTCCTCCTCCTCCTCCGCCTCCTCCTCCTCCTCCTCTCCTCCTCCTCCTCCTCCCCCTCCCCCTCTACCCCCCCCTCCCCCTTCCCCTCCTCCTCCTCCTCCTCCTCCCTCCTCCTGCTCCTCCTCCCCCCTCCTCCTCCTCCTCCTCCTCCTCCTCCTCCCCCTCCTCCTGCCTCCTCCTCCTCCTGCTCCTCCTCCCCCTCCTCCCCCTCCTCCCCTCCTCCCCCCTCTCTTCTTCATCCTCTTCATATTATTTATTCTTTTTTATGTTCTTCTTATTCTTATTCTTCTTCTTCTTTTTTCTTCTTCTCTTCTTCTTCTTCTTCTTCTTTCTTCTTCTTCTTCTTCTTCTTCCTTCTTCTCTTTCTTCTTCTTCTTATTTTTTCTTTCTTCTTATTAATTCTTCTTCTTCCTCCTCCTCCTCCTCCTCCTCTCCACCTCCTCCCTCCTCCTCTCCTCCTCCTCCTCCTCCTCCTCCTCCTCCTCCTCCTCCTCCTCCTCCTCCTCCTCCTCCTCCTCCTCCTCCGCTTGCCCGCCCGCCGTGAACCCCAGTGTGCCCGTGACTTTGGCACCTGGGAATGGGCCCCCACCGCGCCCAAAGGGCCGACGAGCGGCGGTGAAACTGGATGGCTGAAGTGATTCCACGGGCTCGCCGTGTCGTGCAGGGGCTCCTGAGCCTGCATGAGGTGGCGGGTCTAGTGGCGTGCCGAACCTAAGCTAATCCTCCTCCTCCTCCTCCTCCTCCTCCTCCTCCTCCTCCTGTGGTGGCTCTCCTCGTTGCCCTCGCTCACTCCCCCGCCCCCGCCCACCCACATGGAGTTCTCGGAGATGCCCCTCACGTCGGTGCTAAAGGAGATGTCGGCGACGGTCTCGTACTCCTCTCGAAGGTTCCGTCTCCAGAGCGCACTCGTGAGGCCGAACAGCGGAGACAACGGCGACGAGGACGGACACAAGGAGGGGCGGGACGAGAACGGGCGAGGCCAGGAGCACGCGGCCACAGGGGATCCAGCCCTGCCCCCAGACCTGCACGCGACCACCGCGTCGGGCCCGGCCTGCCTCCCCCCACCGCCCCCCCGACTGGCCATCGCTCGGACGTCCACTCCCTGTGTTTTGTTCGGTTTCGTGCGTGTTTTTGTTCGCCATATGATTTGGGTCCGTGGGGGGGGGGGGTCAGGACTGGGGGGGGGGGGGGGCCAACGTCAAGTCATGTCGGCCCCCACGGTCCCAACGCGACTTGTTTCGTAAAGATCATCTTGGTGCGAGGCCTCGTCCCCTCAACTTCGGCTTGATGAGTCACGTTGGCACTGCTCGCTCTCAATTGCCAGAGTAGCACCCAACGTGTATACCCGAAGCTATCGATACCCGTTTGCTGTGTCTTCGATCGCGCCGCCCTTAGGGGGTATTTATCACGTGCTTCTCTCGCGGGATTGGCGCAACATGTAAAACTGGAAGACCAACGACAAATCGTGAGGACGGCAGTATAATGGAGGGAGGCAAGAAGGATGAGGTCAGAGGGAGGAACGCGGGGAAGGAGGAGGGTCATGCTCATTGCCCTTGCCTACGCCCTCCCCAACCGCAGACGCATCGCCATCATTCCCGTTCCCCGCTCCTCCCTCCTGCCCGTCCTCCTGTCCCCCCATCCCGCTCCTCATCATCATTGTTGTCCTCGCCGTCCTGAGTGTCGTCTGCTACCCCGACCCCCCGATCGACGACGATCGGGATTCGTCTGCGGTTTGCGTAAGACGACGGTCGACGACGATGACGGTGACGATGACGATAACGACGACGACGACGATGACGAGTGGGAGGCAGCGGATCCAGCCGTGGCGACGCCAGAAGAGGTCTTCGTTGTCATGCGGCCATCTCCCGCCGCCTGGCATCTCGTAGGCCTCGCTGGCCATGTCACTGCACGCAGTATAACTCCAGCCCGGGCAGCAAACATTGCCTCCAAAGAGGCACGCGCAGCGAAGTTTTACCCTCCTCCACCCTGTGACACGCCCAGCCTGGCCAGCCTCCACCCGAAGGACTGAGACGAGCACGAAGAAGAGGAGGAAGTCGAGGAGGAGGACGAGGGAGGGGGGGAAGGAACAGGGAGGAGGGAAGTGGAAACACATGGGAACAAGAAGGGAGGCACTTGAGAGGGATTGCACGGAGGAGGAAGAGGACAAGGAGAGGGGGGCGGAAGAACATCACCAGTTCCCGACCCACCCCATCCCACCATCGAGCAGGGTCGCCTAAAAGGGGCGAACACGCTTGAGGCCGCGGCGCGGCACGTTGCCCTGATCAGGGCTGGCCTCGCGCTTGACGCCGCCGCGCTCGGCCGCAGGGGCAACGGCCTTCGCCCCGCTAGAAGGGCCAGAAACGACAGAGGTGGCCTTCTTCGGGCAAGGCGTGCGAGAGCTAGAGCCTTGCGACGGAGAGCGCTCCTCACCCTTCTCACTCACAGGCGCCGAGGGCGCCGCGCCCGCTGCCTCGGCCGACGCTGGCGACTTCAAAGCCGCCATCGACTCGAGCTCGCCCCACACGCACGCTGGCATATCCTTGTTATTCGGGACTTTGTTGGCCTTCACGAAGGCGTCGGCCAAGCTCGGGCCTGCAGGGCTGTCCTGCATATTCATCTAGATGTCCGCAGCCTCGATCACGATCGCAACCTGGGAAGCCTTCACCTAGCGAAGCTGCACGGGATCACTCTGCACTCACGGCTCCAACTCCCCAGCTGGCATTGCCCCCGCCAGGCCAGGATCTGGCGGCGAGCGGGAGGAGCACGAGTGAGGGGGGGGAGAGGGTTGTGAGGAGGCGAAAGGCAAGGTGTTGAGGCGAACGGCGAGCGGGGTTCAAATGGGGGGCGAATGCTGAATGATCCCTTCGCAGCTCCGCGACACCAGCGTCGCCACGGCCGTAGCGACGCAGGCGCTTGTGATGTCATTGCCCTGCGCCCGCGACGTCACCTGCATCATCTGCGCAGCCGCGGACATGAGGCTGAGGTCCTTGTGCAGGACGTTGTAGGAGTACACCGCCTTCTCGAGCTTCTTCTCGCTGCCGAATATGGCGCCCGGCATCTTTAAGTGGAGCCTGCCGTCAGGCTTGACCGCGGCGCCCCAGCCCGGGCACGTCGCCTTGCACGTGTCCGAGGACGCCGTGGCGATGTGGGTTAAAATTGTGAGAATCCTGTCCTGGCACATCTTGGAGAAGACCGCGACCAGCGACGCCCAGTGGCGGGTGCTCGGAAACGAGAGAGGGCATTGCCATCCAGCCTTCTCGAGCTCAAGCGACACATCCGAGTTGAGGAGGGTGTCGAGCGCCATGAGCACATCCGACACAAGCCTCTGCAGGCCGCTCAACGTCTTGAACGCGTCATCCTTCGAGGGCGCCTTCTGGTAGCCACCCTCCTTGAAGAGCTTGTCGTGCAGAGAGGCGCAAAGGGCGCCAAGGTCGTTGGTCGAGGTCACCGCGGACAGGCGCAACATGGCCTGGTCGGCTTTCATGCGCAGCGCGAGAGGGTCCGAAATGCAAGTGACTTCGGGAAGAGCGATATCGGCAAGGCCGCTTGCCGAAATGAACTCCTTCAGCTCCCCCAGGGCGACGCTGCGCTGCGCGGCTGTCAGAGCCGCCATGGCGACGCTGGAATCGCCGTCGAGCTCGAGCTGAACTCCGGCGAACTCCCCGTAAGAGTCCACCGACCGAACCACCACATTGATCGCATCGAAATCGCTCGACTGGGCAGCCAACTTCTGCTGCGCATCACCCAGAGAGAAAGATACTCTCGTTCCGGTCTGCGAAAGCTTCGCCATTGTAAACTCGTCCGCCACGGCCGTGTACAGGGGTGTCCATCGAGGTATCGCGTCGGCAGTGGCACTGTGCGACGTGTGCATTTGACAATCTCACTCCAGGATGGGGGACCACATTTGTCGCATGATGCGGATGCGGGCTGGGTGGGGGGGGCTCACCTAAATGAGATTGTCAACGGCGCGCGTCGCACGGCGGCGCTCCCAATCACGCCTACATCATCCATGAACCGCTGGAAGTCGCCCCAGACCTTCGCGACCAGCTCATCGTTCGTGGCGGCGCTCGTAACCTCGAAGACGACGGGGTCGTGCTTCATCATGTGCACGTGCTTGGCCATGCTGATGACCCTCTCGGACACGTTCCTGTCGACGTGCTGCTCAAAGAAAATCAGCGCCAGAGTCGCCGCGGAGTTGACGTAATCGACCATGTCAGTGAGCCCCTTGATGGTGGAGTCCAAGCGGGCCTGGAAGGACATGTTGCTCTTCTGCTCGCTCTGGAACCGCTCACTGGTCGCATCTGGGCAGCTCCTCTCATTCAAGGCCACCTCGCACGTGCGCAGGCGCTTCCACATATCTCCCAGCGTAGCTCCGAAGCCGATCATGCCGTCGCGGAACTCGCCCAAGATCGCCGAGACACTGAAGGATCCCGAGCGGGCCTCCGCCGCGGCCGTTGCAAGCGCCACGCTTGCACCCTCCTGCGAGGTGCTCTCCTCCGTAGGCACCGCGAGCCGCGACTTCGTCAGGGCCTTGATGCGTTGGCCGAGGCCGTCGCACTGGACCGGGGTCGCCACGCCGAAAGTGCAGATCACTGCGTACAAGCGCGCGTCGATGATGGATTCGGAGTTCTGCGTCGTGTCAGTCAGCAACTTCTCGTCGTCGGCCAAGGCGGATGCCGACCACTTGTGCAAGGAGAGCATAGCCCCAGCGAGCAGCTTGCCCATGAGGGCGACTTGGTCATTGATGGAGGTGAAAGCCCCCGTAGCTTTAGACGCAACCCAGTTCTCCAGGTCACCGAAGGCATCTTGAAAGTCAGACTCGAAAGCGGCCACGGCGCTGGCGAAAGACTTCGACGCGGCCTCGCCCTCCACATTTCGTGCGACGTGCAAGCGGGACACCTCCACGGCGTCCTTCGGGGCCTTGCGCGCGATCATGGTTCGCGCGAGCTCTGCTGCAGGCGTTTGGCCTGACTGCCTCGTCTGCTCCAGGACTGTATTCCTGGCATCTCGTACCGTCACCGACGTGAGCCGCTCACTCTCTGCGGCGCTGCAGCACTTCACGATGCTGCCGATGGCCCCGAGCACTCGAGTGAAGACAATGCTTTCGTCGTCGTCGTTGTCACCAGTGAGTGGCTCCATCGCACAAGCCCACGCATGCACGGCGGCGCTGATCTCGGTCACGAACTCGTCGGTCGTCTTCTTGAGTTCCAGGCACGCATCGGGGAGGCTGTAGAGGTAAGACCGCATCGCCTCCGCGACCATGCAGGCCATGCGGCACTTGGCACTGACACCAAATCTGCACCTTGGTTGAGAGCTCGACCACGGTATCCTTCGCTTCGTCGCCTTCCTCGCCTTCTTATCGGCGGGCTCGTCGCACTTCTCTTTGACTTCGATCTTGGCGGGATGTTCTGGCCCCTGATCTTGCGCTGCCTCCTCGGGGCGTTGGCGCATCAAGTCGAAGATGACCATGCTCAAGTGTTCGATCGCGGTCGAGACCTTGTTGTGCTTCTTGATATAAGCCTGGAAGACGCTGTACCCAAAGATGACAGTCAGGTCCTCTGCCAAGGGGAGTCCCTTAGAGGCCAAGTACGCCACCTGGATTCCGATGTGGTCCAAGGTGTTGACGAGGTTCGCGTCGTCCTGGGTGCCTAGCCAATGCTTGAGGCACTTGCAAAGAGAAATGGAAGCGTTGATCCTCGCATGCAACTGCTTATGCGCAACTTGCACAGAGCACGCCACCTTGCCGACGATCGCTTCGCGGTGATTCTTCAACCTTCTCTCCAATACCTGCGTCGTGCCCAACTTGTAATCTTGGAACCACCCATCTGTGGCCATGCGGTCCACGTAGGCGTTCACCGTGTTGCGCATTCGAGCGACGGAGACAAACTCCCGCCCAGCGGGGAAGCGGCCGCTCAGCGACATGTCCTGCAGAGGAAGCCCGCGAATGTCGATCTCACTCGACTCCTCGATGCACTCTTGGGGCTGCGCGACTGGCGGCGCAGCGCCACCTTCATCTCCGTCGACTGGCCGAGCCACGTCGCCCTCATCAGAGACTGGGGGGGGGGCATCGCGTCGGCCAAGGCCAGCTGATTGTAGATAACCTTGGTCAGGGGCGTGGCCCGGCGGCGAGTTGGCTGCTCTAAGGTCGGGCCAGTCTCCTTCCCATCCCTTGACGCACCTGGGCCCTCTAACAGGCCGTCCTGGACGTCCTCGCCGTTCGCGCCCTCCCCGTCCTTCCCCTGCTCGACCTTCGCCAAACCGATGGTCACCAGGCTGTCGTCGTGGGCCTGCGAACCGAGGCTGTCCGCAACGGGCCCAAGCACCGCGTCCAAGTCGGGGAGGTCGCCGAACAACTCCTCAGCTAGCCGCTGATCCTCTCCGGTGGAATCCCAGGGCCCGTCGGCGGTGTGCATAGCAGGCGAGGCGCTTGCATTCTGCCAACACTTCTGTTGCAACTTGCCCCCGAATCGAGATCGAGCCAAAAAAAGGCTTCGGAGGGGAGGGAGGAGGGACAAGCATTGGGAGGGGGAGTGCGCATAGAAGTGGGGGGAGGATTACCAGGAGGAGGAAGCCCGGCAACAATTGGGCCAGCTGCAGCACGAGCCCCGATGGAGGGCCTCGCGTGGCCCAAGGGCAATGTCGACGGATGGGGTAAGCCTTCGCCGCGGTGGCTCTCTTGACCACTGCCGATTGGGAGCGTCTTTAGGTCTACGGCTCAAGAACTACAAGGTCCAGGACTACATGCAAGATTGGGTCCGAACCTCATTTGTATTGTGCTGAACATCCTAATACACTGGCAACGCGAGTTGTGGACTAGTATAAGTGAGCACTACTAAAACGACGCATACTACGACTACAACCACTACTATTGTAACAACACGCTCGACACCACAAACAGAAATCAACAGCAATAACTACTAGGACCAATGGTACGCATACGCAAACTAGTAGCAATACTACCTGCACTACCAACACTGCTAATACTACGACTACCACCGCTACCACTACTGCTGCTACTGCAACTCCAAGTCCTACTAATGCTCCTACACATACTCCTACTCCTGCGCCTACTCATTACTACAACAGCTACTACTTCGAATACTATCTACTACTACTATTACTACTCCGACGACTACTACTACTACTACTACTAGTACTACCACCACTACTCCTAGTACTACTACTACTACTACTACTACTACTACTACTACATCTGCGACCACCACTACAAATCCTGCTACTACTACTACAACTACTGTCACTACTAGCGTTACTACTAACACTAAGACTACGACTACTACTCTTATTCCTACTCTTACTCTTAGTACCACTACAACTCCGACTATTACTCCTACTCTTACTCTTACTCTCACTCTTAATTTTACTCTGACTATTGTTCTTGCCCGTACAACTACTACTGCCGTTACTGTTGCGACGATTACAAGCTCCTGCTGCTGTTAACTACCTACTGTCTACGGCATACGACCTACACATACTATTGCCTACTACGTTATGCCTACATACGAGCTGCTAACAATGTCCTACTCACTATTCTTACGGCTACTACTACTACCCTTACGACTACACCTAAGACTACTACGGCTACTATTCCTTTGTAGTAAGCATACGAAAACCTTTGCTGCCACTACTACTAGTAGTAAGACTGCAATGTTGACTATTACTCATAATGCGAATATGCCCATTCCTGCTCCAAGTTATACGCCTATTCCTACTACGACTACTACCGCTACTACTACTACTACTACTCCTACTCCTACCACTACTACTACCACTTCTTCTACTACTACTACTACTACTACTACGACTACTACTACTACTACTACTACTACTACTGCTGCAGCTGCTGCTACTACTACTACTACTACTACTACTACTACTACTACTATTACTACTACTACTGCTACTACTACTACCACTACTACCACTACCACTACCACTACCACTACTACTACTACTACTACTACTACTACTACTACTACTACTACTACTACTACTACTACTACTACTACTACTACTACTACTACTACTACTACTACTACTACTACTTACTACTACTACTACTACTACTACTACTACTACTACGACTACTACTTACTACTACTACTACTACTACTACTACTACTACTACGACTACTACTACTACTACTACTACTACTACTACTACTACTACTACTACTACTACTACTACTACTACTACTACTACACGATTTACACCGGACTCACTTCTATAGCGCTCACTTCTATAGTGCTCACTTTGAAATTGTGGTCCGGAAGGGGCCGCACATGCAGGCACATGCCGCACAGTCGCATGCACATGCCCATGCAAATATGCAAAAGCCTCAACAGCATTGCCGCACATGCGCGCACATGCCACACCGTCCGACGCACAGTCGAATGCACGGTCAAGCAAAACTCTGAAAGCATGGACGCACATGCCCGCACATGCCGCAGAGATGTCGCAGGCGATAGTGGCATGACCACCTGAGCTCGGGGCATTTCGCAACCCAGAGTTGCGAGGATATCTCAGGCAAGCGTGGCCGGACCACCATGGGGCAGGGCATCTCGGAACCCAGAGTTGCGAGGGTCTCAGGCGAAAAAGGCCGAGACACTATGGAGCAGGGCATCATTGAGGTCAGAGTTGCGAGGATGTCTCAGGCAAAAAAATGGCCTGAACACCTCAGCTCAGGGCATCTCGGGCGAGGATGTCTAAAGCGAAAGTGGTCTAACCACCTCAGCTCAGGGCGTCTGGGAACCCAGAGTTCCGAGGATGTCTCAGGCGAAAGGGGCCGATACACTATCGAGCAGGGCATCATTGAGATCAGGGTTGCGAGGATGTCTCAGGCGACAATGGCTGACCACCTCAGCTCGGGGCATATCGGAATCGAGACTTGCGAGGATGTCTCAGGCGACAGTGGCCTGACCAGCATGGGGCAGGAGATCTCTGAGGTCAGAGTTGCGAGGATGTCTCAGGCGAAAGTGGTCTAACCACCTCAGCTCAGGGCGTCTCGAAACCCAGAGTTCCGAGGATGTCTCAAGCGAAAGTGGCTGGGCCACCATGGGGCAGGGCATCTCCGAGACCAGAGTTGCGAGGATGTCTCAGGCGAAGGTGGCCAGATCACCTCATGTCAAAGCATGTCGGCCTCCAGATTGCCGACGACGTCTCACTCGGAACCGGCCGGACGCGAACGCGCCGGCGCCCGGAGACGAACGCTGGCCCCGGCATTCTTGCACGTCCCGCACATGCCCCGCACAGGTACGCACAGTATTCGCACAGGCCGAGCTCGCCAGTGGCCGAGCCAGGCTAGCGATTCCGAGATTCCCTGAGCTCGGGCCGTCAAGCCACTTGCAGGGGGGCCAGGAGGCATTGGAGGCACAGGGGTCCCAGACAGTTCCTAGGGCATGAGCGTGCATGTGCATTGGGATGTGCACGCATGTGCGCCCGCGCGCTTCACCGCATGTGCGTGCATGTGCGGGCCCGCGCGGCCTCCCGAAGAGAGGTTGCACAGGCATGTGCGTGCATGTGCCGATGACAGATCTGCGATTCTCGAACACCTCCCGCATGTGCAGGCATGTGCGCGCATGTGCGTCGGACTGTGCGTGCATGTGCGTATGATGGATACATCAAAACACAGCGCACATGCCCCCGCACATGCCCGGGCACGACGTGCACAGTAGGAAGTCCATCCAAGAAGGGCCGCACAGGCCTGGCACATGACTGGCACATGCCGCGCACATGCGCGCACATGACAGCGCAAAAACGGCCGCACATACACCCACCCAGGGGTATAGATGTGAGTGCGGTGTGCTTCTAAACACCCAAAGGGCCCAGGAGGCCATCGACGAGACCGCCCACACTCCCAAGCCAAGAAGGCCCCGAAACAACCACAAGACGCCCCAATATGGCATCAACAACATGGTTCCGTGGGTCAGCGGCGCGGCGCACGCCATCGAGTCGAAAGAGCCGCGAAGGATGAGGAGGGAGAGGAGGAGGAGGGTTGTTGTCGTTGGTGGTGTTGCTGTTGTCGTTGGCGTTGTTGTTGGTTGTGGTGGTGATGTGTTTATGTTAGTCCCACTAGCCCTCTGGGCGTAGGTGGTTTAACGAAAAGTGTCTTCCCTCTTTCCACAACCCCTCCTACCCCTGCTCAGGGGAGGTGTTTACCCCTCCCCCTGCCCCCCCCCCCCCCCCCGGGTCGGGGAGGGGGAGGGGGGGCCGAGGCGCCAGAGCCCCCAAGACCGCCCAAGATGGCTCCAAGAGGGCCTCTGAGACGCCAAGATGGCCTCCAAGATAGCTCGAGATAACTCAAGCTAGCTCGAGATAACGGTCGGCGTACCAAGAGGCCCCGAGACGGCTCCCATACGGTTTCAAGTGCCCGCCGAGCCTTCCGAGGACCCCACCCCCCCCCAGAAGGCCAACATGATCCCAGAACCTTAACAAGTTCAATGGTGTTGCCTTCGCGCCTTTTCGTTTCCGAATGGCCTCGGACGCCTCACTGTTGCTCCAAGATGGCCTAAGAGAGCTCCGAGAGGCGCCCGCGGCGGCCCCAAGACTGCCCCAAGAGTGCCGAAGAGCGCCCCAAGAGGGCACCCAAGCCGCCCTTTTGTAAGCGCCCGAGGGGGGGGGGGGCTAAATAAAAGCGCTCCTCGTGTTTGGGGCACCACGTGACCAGCCCATCTAGAAGCGGGTCAATCCTGACCTGCTCATCCATAAGCTGTGCTTGCGGCAACGGGTCATATTGGGGAATCTTGCATGCGATCTCAGGTCTCGCGGGTCAGCTTGGAATGCGCTGCAGATTCGGCTTGGTCTTGGCGGAGGGTAGCGTCGGGATGCGGGGAGGGGAGGGCGGTTAGACCTAACGAGGGCGACCATCGACGATCGCGGGGAGGTGGAGGATGAGAAAAGGAGAGAGGAGGAGAAGGAGGAGGATGATGAGGATCAGGGGGAGGAGGAGGACGACGACGAGAAGGGGGAGGAGGAGGAGGACGACGGCGAGGAGCACGATGAGGATGATGAGGATCAGGGGGAGGAGGAGGACGACGACGAGAAGGGGGAGGAGGAGGAGGACGACGGCGAGGAGCACGATGAGGAACTGGGGGGGGGGGGTGGGGGGGGGGGGGGCGGGGGGGGGGCGGATGAGGAGAGGTGGGATGAGGAGGAGAAGCCAAGGAAGTGAAGGCGAGGGCGAGGAGAGGCGCCTCGACGCCTCGACGGCACCTGTTCAGCCTGAAACGCAACTGACAAAAAAAAAAAAAAAAAAAAAAAAAAAAAAAAAAAAAAAAAAAAAAAAAAAACTTGGACTCCTGGACTCTTCGCGCAACCCCACCAGCCCATCCAGCAACGATACATAGGCGAGCGATAGGTTTTCGGAGGTCTCTTTGGGCCATCGCGGGGCCC